GATTGTTAGGCAATTTCTAAGTAATTTCTGATTTCTTAAAACAACTCCGATATCCACTTAAAAATTGTCTAAAAATCGTGCGATTTCTTTTTTTTTTATCTGCAAAATTTACATAATTTCGCAAACCGCAATAAAGAATTACAATCATCCAATTTCTATCTAAATTCTAAATCAAAGAATTACAATAATCCTTTTTTATAATAGATTGTCAATTCTAAATCAAAGAATTACAGAAGTGTGCTTACTGTTAGAGTTTTAGTTTGTGTAAAGGCTTTGTGAGGCTAAAGTGATATCACGAAGACTCTAACAGCTCAGGCCTCTTAAGATCGTAAAATGTATAAAAGCACAGGCTGTCTTATTTAATAAAAAAAAGGAGCTAGCGTCCTTCTTGATAAAGTAATATAAAACAATGACCTGCCTTTCCTTTATTCCCAACTATCATTAATGCTTGAATCTCACCTGATTAAGTGAGATGTCATCGTGTTTAAACCACGTTAACTATTGAAGCTAAACCGTGCAACGATATCCGCTCTCCCAATTTACAATAGTCACATATAGTGTTGATTGTGTGGAATGAATTATCAACCTCACGTTTTCTAGATTACTTCACCATCCAACCCTTGGATAACATCAGATGTGAAATAAAAGGTTTTTGGTTCTAAGAGGCAGTTGGCAGTTACTCATCTTGGAAGTTGCTACTTCATATAAAGGTGAAGTGAGGAGTTCAAGTATTTGGAATCTAAGTTTCAAAATGAGAAGACATAGTCCATATATCTATGTCTAAGAAAAAATTTGAGTTTAGAATGTAAAAGCCTGACTTACATATTTAAGCTAAATCTAAGCAAGTTTAAGCATCAAACAAATACTTGAGCTTAAGACTATATATTAGAATAAAGAAGCTAAAACTGCTGATGATATAATAATTGAAGTCTAGGATTTAATAGGCATGTGGTGAAACTTAATTCATAGATATAACAATGGTCAAAGAATAGCCACAACAGTTAAATGTATGTGAGAAACATATAATATAAAGATTTCTAATATTGGTTTTGTTTCTATTATAATTCAAAAAATAAGGAAGATGAATTAAATTAGTAAAACATTAGAAAATATATGTTTTATTTGAGTTAAGTAGATTTTGAAATTTTAATTTGAAGTGAATTTGAGATAATATTGTTATCAAATGAGTTTTAATATTTTTATATTTATTTTTATATTTATTAATTAATTATTCTTTATTTGTATTTTATAAATTATCTTATAAGTTAGCAATATCTTTAGAAAGCATTATTAGAATCAGAATAGTCTTATAATCATAATGAGCTATAATTTATAGAAATAGAATAATTATTGAGTAATTAGCATTTAAAAATCTCTATTGATATTTAACTATATTTAACTACATTTAACTATGTTTAACTATATTTAGCTACATTTGATGATATTTAGTTATATTTGATAATGTTTAGTTATATTTGATAATGTTTAGTTACATTTGATAATGTTTAGCTATGTTTAAAGATATTTAGAAAAAGATATTTAAACTCTGCTTTTTCTTCCTTCTGTAAAAGTTAGATTTGTTCTCTACAATCTTCTTAATATTAGAATTCTCTTAGCACAGACATAATAGATAGTCTTATATTATTGATATTATATTATAAATAAAGAATACTCTTTACTTTAATATAATCTTTCTAATAAAACATTTTATAAAATAATATCCTACTTGATACTGTTGAGAGCTCCTCTTCAATATCTTATATTACTTGTAATATACTAAGAAGGCTATACTACCTGTAATATTTTAGTGCCTTCTGACAGAAAACTAAAAAGAAAATTTAAATATTTAAGGTTTTTAAGAAAGAATATTAGAAGGAATTTTTAATTAAAAAACTCTTAAAAAACCTTTCTTACAAAATAAAGAAACCTCTCTCTTTCTTCTCTAATAATCTCTAGGAAACCTCTCTTCTCTCTTTACTAATTACAATCTATATTACACTTAATTTATATTATATAATTACTAAAAAAGATTTTTAATTTCTAAAATAGATTTATATCACACAGAAATATGGAAAACAACTTATATTATTTCAAGCTTAAGAAGACTAAGTTTATATTATACAAACTTTAAAAAGTTATATTTAAACTCAGAAGACTCTCTATTTATGACTACCTATTACTAAAGGAATAATAGTATATTAGAAAACAACACTACTAGACAGAATTAGTAGGAAAGGCTATTTTAAGCCTCTACATTAGTTGCACTTCTAGAGTTAGACTCTCTAGTCATAAATTATTTTTGGATTAGATCTCTATTCTATAACAAGTACTCCATGAGCCAAATTAGGTAGGTATGTCAACTCGAAATTTGTCATTGACCAATCTAATTTAATTGAGTCATCAATCATTTTATCATTCTACTTTTAGAACACGAACGTTTAAAAATTGGAGTTAAAAAATCTCGATAAATTATTATATTAACGTTGAGTAAAAATAAAATATATGTAGTTAGAAACTGGCACTTTAATTTTAATCAAACAACTCAAAATTTTTAAAAATCGTCAAAGGCGGATTTTCTTAGTCCATTACTCATATTGTAATAGTATAGATTATAAATAAGTTATTAAATAACTTCGTAATGAGAATAAACTGTTTCTTATCTCTTCAAACACAGTATATAAATAATTTGACGTGACTTTCGATCTATATGAGGTCTTTGCTATGATTTTTTTGCGTTAAAAAAATAGATTTATTATGATTTTCTTAATGAAATTCCTGTGTAACGATGGCTCGGAGTGTCATTTTAGAAAACAAAATTTCAAATTCCCTTGGACGTATTTAAAACTTTTCTTCTTTGATGAGTATACGTAACACATACTTTGATCTAAATTAAAAAATAAATAATTTCAATTCAAAAATTCGACAAATTTAAACTATTATATTCATTATTAAAATTACCAACAGTGTTATACGGTCTTATATCACAAACCCTAGTTATTGCGCTTTGCAAAAAGGTGCGACCCTGTGATTTTCTTTGTGATGATAGAGGAAAACTTCTGTGATTCTAAAGTTCCTATTGATCAAATATTTTAGTATATACCGATACGTATTGTCTAAAATCTGTAAAATTCTGTAAAATTCGGAAAATCACCTAATTTCCCGTGATTTTCACATGACATCATGATCTGCAAGGTCACACCTTTTTGCAAAGCGCAATAATAATTATTGTGGGAGATGATCGTGAAATCGGATGATTCTGAAATTTTTATTTATTTTATTATGAAAATTTAAAAATTTTTAGGGTCTTTTTTGTTAGCTTTTTTTTTTAGGTTAGGGTTAGGGTTTAGGGTAGTGTTGTTAATAAAAGAGTATATGTGTATTTTAGTAGGTACGTATTATAGATTTAAATAGAGACCCTAAATTTCAGCTTACGATCATCCCCCACAATAGGGATGAGAATCGAATCTTTGATAATCGATTTAATCGTTAATCGAATTAGAATCGATTTTCATTTTTGTGTAATCGTTATAATCGTTTCTAGAAACGATTACATATTTTTGAATCGATTCTTGAATTAGAATCGATTCTAAGCATATAATCGTTTTAATTATAATAAACTTTCACTTATTTTAAGTTATTTTAAAATAGTTCTTTTGTTTTTAAACTTTACGAGTCATTTGGCCTAGCCTTTAGTTTGTGCTTAGCTATCTTATTTCGCAAGTTACTGTAAATGTTTAAGATTGTTACGCTTAATTTTCTTGATGGCTATATGTTTGTTAAATATAAAGCGTATTGTTTTTTATTAAATTTTAAGCCTATAGTTTTTGACTTTGGTATCTGTATATTTGTTTCGGAATCTCTTAATGCTGCACAAACTACTCGGCTTATGTTTAATGCTACCCAACACTATTTGGGCTATTCTTAATGCTGCCCAACACATGCTGCAGACGAATATCATCCAGATATTATCTGAATAATATCTAAATGGTATAGGTACTATCCGATATTCTGACCATCAGTTAAAATCAATATCTGAATATCCAAAAATTATTTGGATATCCCGATAATTGACCTAACTTCTAAAACTGATGGATTAAGATAATAAATGTTAAAACCTTGTACGATATTTTAATACTCTAAAATCTATTATTTTAGAATTATTAGGTTCAAGACATTGTTCATAAAATGTGACATCTGCAGATCACGATGTCATGTGAAATTGCAAAAAATCAGCTTAAACAATATATATAATTGTTTATTTAAATATATAATTATATTAAATTTAAATCTTCGAAATTTCAAATTACTATTATCACAAAAATGTCACACTTTATTGCAAAGCGCCATAATATAAGTAATAATGATATATAGAATTCGATTATCGATTAGAAATCGATTATGGTGATTCGATCATCGATTGAAGTTTTTAGAATCGATTCTCATCCCTACCCCACAATTATTAATTAATAAGAATTTATATCTAATATTGAAAACCAAAAAAAAAGGACACTACCATAATTGTATCCTTCCAATGTTTCTTCATTTGTAATGAATTACGCACCGTATTTTGCGCTAGAGATTATTCAGTTCGAATATATAAACTTACCCAAATGAAAATTTGGAAAAAGCGACCATTATGCAATACAATTCGTCTAAAATGTCTTTGGATAAAGTATGGCAAAAGGCCAAAATTTATTTAAAAATTTTTTTTTTTAAAAAAAAAATCTAACTAGTGTGATTTTATCTTCGTAGAACAATGAACAAGGGAATTTAAAGCATATACGAATAGTGAGCCGGTAATTTGAATCCTATTTAAAACAATGCTTAGATGAATTAAATAGATTACATTCATCTAATTTTTTTTAATTTTAATTAATGATACAAGTATAGTACATTAATAAATATAATAAATTATAATGCGATTATATTTTCAATAATATTTGTTTTTTTTTTCTAAGAATTAATAAATGATGCGTCTACAGAAACTAAGTACACCCATATTATTCATCCTTTTCTAATTTTCTTTTATATAAACGTGAAGTAATTAAATTCCATTGCTCCTGAAGGTAGTTCCAAACATTAAATAAGGCCTTTACTGATCTTGATGAATGTGGTAATTTGGATTCCATTACTTGAACCTTTTAACATTAATCAATTAAAGAAATTACTTAATACTTAAATAAGTTAACATAATATATCGTTAATAAAAACAAACCTTAAAACAAAATTGTTCGATAAACTCATCGATTTCCTTTAATTTATCTTCTAATACACCTAATTCATAATTTAATTTTCCTCCATCAGTTTCAATTTTCTTTACTGTTTCAGCTACTTTTTTTTGTTTTGATAGTATTTTCGAACTATATTCTTCCGTTGACTATGGAAATAAAATGTGGACATTTATATTATAAAATATGTACAGTATAAACATTTTTAAATCATCATTTAATTAATTTACCTTGAATTTTTGATATCTTTCTTCATAAGCATTAGATAATTTCTCAAGTTGGTCATCGTATTTTTTAGCAGTTGACTGCATAAATTAAATCAATAAAAAAATCAATAACACTCTAACAATTGAATGACTATTGATTAAAACTCATACCATTAAATGTTTAATCAGTTCATCTAAATTTGCTTCTCGGTCTCTAAGACTCTCATAAATCGTATATGTTTGAATGTCAATCTCGAATTTTCGCCTATAATTATAAACAAATACAACTTTAACTGAAAAAAAAAAATTTTTATTCAATATTAATCTAATTAATATACCTATGTAATGAGCGAGCACCTTGTTTTTGAGCAAAATCCACTGTTGTAAAAGATTTTGCTCTCTTGTGATGATATATTGGTAATTCTCGTAATTTAATGTCATCGTATGCATTAAAAGAATATGATCGCCTTCGTTGGTACCATGAGTTTTCAGTATCACTATCGTAGGATGATCCATCATCGGAGAAACTTGAATCTGTTACTTGTTGATCAGCTGTACTCGCGATAAACTCGGAGCTACTATGTGCCGAATTGTTAAAAAATGCTACATCTACATATTAAAAAATAATATGAAATTAACGAAAAATTAATAATCTATTAACAAAATTCAGAATTGGAAAATTTATATATATATACCAGATACCGTTTGTGGTAAACTTCGTGTAGACGATTTTGACTTGACATATAATTCAAGATCACTAAACAGGAATTAATTTCAAGATCTTTTTATCATTAAAAATATATATATATATAAGTATAAATTAAACAAATACTTTGATAAGGATGGTTCGGGATGAGTAGTCGAATCCAATGGAAATGTTAACGATTTTGTAGTTCCAGTTAGTGATTTTTCTTTTTCCCTTGATATTCCACCTCGGTCCACTAAACTAGATAAAGACCTAAAAGTCATAATTAGAATTTGGTTTATAAGTGTACTTAAAAAGCTAAACGATTTACATAAATAAAGAATATACTCACTCTGTGACACCTTCTTTAAGTCCTCGCACACCCTCTCTGATAACCTCACCGGTTTTTGCCTAAACATAATTTAAATTAATTTAAATAACGAATGACTATTACGATAACAATTTAGCATACCGTTCTTCCTGAAACACCACGAAGAAAGCTTTTTCCTAATTCCTTTCCACCATGAAATAAATCCATTTCTACAGATTCATCTTTACCCTTCCATAACAACCTTGACCCTTCGTTTTTCCAGAATTCTTCTAAATTATACGTCTCAATATCATTCGATGTATTTAAGTGACCTTTAAAGATAATAACAAATTAATAAGGAAAAAAAATCACAAAAGTTAAAATTATTTTAAAAAATCTATTTTCGCATACTTGATATACCAGGTAAATTCTTTTCAAATTGATTTATGACCTATTAAAGCACAAATATTTTTTAAGATATTTTAATCAGTGGTTGAAATTCAAGTCAAGTTCTCATCTGAGAATTTTTATCAAAATAATTTTCGTATAATTTAAAATATGTTCTCAAATCAATAATAATTTTAAAATTAATTTGTTTTCATACTTATTATATAATTAGATACTACGGAATTTTATTTTAAACAAATTTTAAATATATATCTATATATAACTTATAACATTTACCATGTCAAATGATGTGGTATTCCAGCCCAATCAACATACCTTGCGCATTTTTAGCCCATCAGGATTTCTTGATTTATTATATAAGTCATTAATTTTTTTTATAATTCCAGAATCTAGTTTACGAGATATCGGTTCTATTTTCGCCGATTTCTATATATCAAATAATTTAAACATTTAATTGTTTGTAATAAAAAAGTTATGTTGACAATAGTTTGAATTTTTTACCTGAAAAGAAACAACACCATTTATAAAAGTATCAGTATCCACGAATGGATCTTTTCCAACCTACATGAAATAATGATTTATTTAATGTTTAAAAAAAATAGGCAAAAAAATGAGCGTTGTTACTAATAATTCTAACCTGATAATTTAAATAATTAAGTTTATTTCGAATGCTTAACACCATTCTTAAAATTTCGGCAACCAGATTTGGTTCAAAGATATTTTCTAGAGTCTATATTTAAAAATCACATAAATCTGTAAAATTATTTAACGATTATGCCATGCAAACTCGATTTTTCGTTTTGCATAACCCGCCGATCGATTTTTCAATTTTATGAATTTTTTATTTTATTTTTTTTTTTTAAGAGTTCCAATTATTTCAATTGATCCTTTTTTTTGTTCAGTGCCACTCGCTGGTGACCTTAATTTTCCAGAATTATCCGATAGAACACCTATTGTACTAAAACATGTCGGTAACAAATAAATTTGTAAACCAAAATCTGGTTTTTTCCTTTGGCGACATTCATATTAAAAAAAAAAAAAAATCCACCTGCCGACCAAGTTTTAGAGTTTCATGTAATTCAAAACAAAAAGTCGACTTTGCGTGGCCTTATCAAAAAAATGATCAAGATAATTGACATACATCGAAATTACGAGCATGCTCATTCTTAAATTCTTTAAGATAAGATTCAGTAATGTTGCATAATAATCCATCAATATAAATTTGAGGGAAATCAAAAATCAAGTGTAAAGCAACTTGAACATATTTCACTAATTGAAGTACAGCAGACTCAAATATTTTTTCAGGTATTTTTTCAGGTACAGAATATAATTGAAAAAATTTCTGTTTTTGTACTTCGCTAAATAAGAAATATTTTTAATAATACTGTAATAAGATGAATTAAAAAAAAAAAAAAAAAAATAGTGAAAATGAACTTACGTTTGAGGTTTTAAAGACAAGGCAGTTTTACCGCTACAACCAATTCTACGTAAATTTAAGTTTAGGCGGAACTGTGGGTAATGTGCATTGTAATCTCCTTCGGTAACCAAAATGGTACTTAATGACGAAGGAAAAGTACTTAAATTTGTCACAAATATTGTTCCTAGTTTAGTCTGGATAAAACGATAATATTAACATTGGATTAAGCAAATTTAACTTGTGTTAACATCTGGCTTACGTCTTTTAACCGAGTCATGTCTTCTTCCAGACTAGAAAACAAAATTTCAATTTCTCTTGGATATATTTGAAATTTTTCTTCTTCGATGAGTATAACACATACTTTGATCTAAATTAAAAAAAAAGAAATTTAAATAATTTCAATTCAAATTTTAATAATTAATACTGTAAATTGAATAAAAAATTACCTTATGAGTTGGGTCACCTGTAAAAACAGTAACAGTGTTATATGGTTTTCTATCACAAACCCTAGTTGAAAAGATTATTAAATTTAATGGGTATTTATAATCTAATATTGAAAAAAAAGACAATACCATTGTTCAACTATATAAAGTTGATATCCTTCCAATGTTTCTTCATAAATAATGACTTGCGCATCGCATTTTTTTGCTAGAGTTATAAGAGTCTCTCGTTCAGAAAATACAAACTTGCCATATCTGTTAAAAACCATGATAAAAAATTTGAAGAAAAGACGATCATCGTACAAATACATGTATTTATACGTATAAATTGCGGTCACAGATCAGCTCGTGTAGTTTTTCAAAATTTCCTAATACAGAAGTTCAAAATATACCTACGTATTAATGTTAACGTTAATTAAATAAATGTTAACGTTAATTTTTTTGCACCGCTTTTTAACCGACCCCAGATATGGAAAATTAAAATGTAGTGTCACGTATGCAATACGTACTGCAGTATAAATGCATTTCTATAATCACGACCAATAAGTTTTACTACTTAGCAATATCATGGCAAATACTTCAGAAGAATGGCTCGAAAGAGCTATTTCAGATGGACATATTAGTTATCTAGAATATAATGAGTTTACACATCGTAAAGTAATTGGTACAGGGGGTTTTGGAACAGTTTATAAATACGAATGGAAAGACTGCGAATTAACGGTTGCTCTCAAATGTCTTAAGGTCGATACAAATTTAGATGAAACAATCATTAAAGATTTTATTAATGAGGTATTATTTATTATTAAATTATATTAAAACTGAAATTACTTCTAATATAGATACTAAATTATTGATAATTTATATAATTCATATAATAAAGCTTAAACTATTAAAAAGAGTTAGTCACCATCCAAATATTATTACATTTTATGGAGTCACTAAAGGTATAATCTCTCTTATATTTTTAAATACTGTCAACTCTCTCTAAACTGAACTTGGATAAATTGAATGTTTAATAAACTCTGTCTAAAACGAACTATAAATTTTGAATTTTTTTTTTGAAACTTTGTACATTTTGTAAATTGAACTTTTTAAATTTTTTCTTAAGGGTTCGGTATTAGGGAAAATTGACTGCATATTTAAAACAATAATTATACTAAAAATATTTATTATAATATAAATAGATAGTAATGGATATTATAATATGATTTTACAATATGCTAATGAAGGGAATTTGCGAGAATACCTAAAGTCAAATTTTATAAAATTACAATGGGTTGATAAATTATATATTGCTAAGGAGATAGCGCTTGGTCTTTTATTCTTACATAAAAATAATATTATTCATAGAGATCTTGTGAGTATATTATAATAACTTTATGTTTATTTTATTCCTCTTGTAAATTTTTAATTTGTTGATAATTTTTGTTTATTTTAATAGCATTCAAAAAATATTTTAATGCATCAAAAACAACCAAAGATAGCTGATTTTGGATTGTCAAAACAGATAAATGAGACGTCAATGACATCGAATTCAACTGTTTATGGAATGCTAGCATATATCGAACCTCAATGTTTTGTTAACCATAAATATAAACGTGACAAGAGATCAGATATTTATGGCTTCGGATTAATCCTCTGGGAAATCTCAAGTGGTAGACCCCCATATCAATCAATACCTGCATATTCTCTCACATTTCAAATATTCAATGGAATGAGAGAGGAACCAATAGAGGGCACACTACCTCAATTCATTGAACTTTATCAACAATGTTGGGACAAAGAACCTGATAATCGCCCTGAAATAAATTTAATTCTCAAAACTTTAAATCAACTCATTGTTAGCGAAGATTCAAGTCAGTCTAGCACAAATGAACTATCAA